ATCTATAGGATAATGGCCCTGAGTTTTCTCGAGGTGGACATCGTGGAAATCGCGGCATGTTTCGAGGTAGGGGAGGTCCTCGTGGTGGGTTTCGCAGTGGATTTCACGAGCAAAACGACTATGGTACACAGCGTGGACACAGAGGACGATCTTGGGTACTTAATTTTGATTTTCTGAAGGATCTATATCCTGTTTTCCATTTAGGGTCGCGCTGATCATGGAAAGAGAAATTGGAACCAAGAACATGAGGGTGGATTTTATAATAAAAGAGGAAGAAGTGGAAGAGGAGGCGGAAACCGAGAAACGCGCAATTACAGGCGAGAACACTTCTACTTCACATTTTTAATGCTGCACTGTTTCGTTTCTCCTCTAAATTTTGAATTCTGTCAGTTTAAGTGACTCCATTATTTAAACCATCTTCAGAACTAAGTTAAAGTAGGAGAACAGTTTGGCTTCTTCTACTTACCATTTTTTTAGGACTAAGTCCTACATATTTGCAGTTATTTTGAATATTCATTTTGAAGCATTGGGTTATCGGACAAGTTCATGCTAATCAAGCTCATAATCAAAACAGGAATTTTGGCAAAGATTTATATATGACTAGCTTGCTTACCAGGCTGCTCCCGGCTGTTTTAGAGTGGTCATGTGTATTGAAGCCAATTTTTTTTCTTGTAAAGGCACAGTCGAGCCTTCAAGATTTCCAGCATAAAAATTATGATGTTGACACATCTTTATAGCAATTGGTAGCAGCTAAAAAAGGGGAAATATGAATAACCAAAAAATCATAAAAGTATATTGTTTTGAATGAAAATCATAGTCGCAAGCAGCAGTTAACAAACCATACCAATTGCTTCACCAGTTGCTAGTAGTTCACCAGAAGAATTTGATGAATGGGTATAATACATCGGTCTTCGAATGTTTACCAAATTTGCAATCAGCATATCAAGTCGAATTCACCAACTCCCAGCATTTCAAAGCGGAAAGCGCAAAAAATCAACAAATTCTCAGAATCGATCATTTTTGAATGATTATCAAACTCCTAATCAGCATATCAACTTACCCCAGTACACCATCGTCAGCGCATCTGAGTAAGAATTGCGGGGAATCAATAGATCAATAGAGTCAGTTATAAATCTTTGAATGGATATCCTAAGGTGAGTCAACCTGCTGAACAATGCTACGATAGTTATTTTGTAGCCTAGGTTTAACATCATTTACTTACTAGGCATCTTGTGAGTTGAATTGTAACAAAGAAAAATTTGAAATATAGAAAAGGACTGACTACTTTAGATCAGGCGAGAGTAGCCGAGAATGCAAGCTATCTCTCTTTAAAAGGCGCGTTGAAATCTACCCTTTTTGCAATCCTGGTTTTGTAATGTGAAAATATTTGAAACATTCATTTGCACAGAGTGCTTGATCGAAAAGCCGAATACACAAGTCTTAAGCTTAAAGCTTTCAGTATATTATAATAGACAAATTTCCTTTTGTTGTTTAGGAGTCTCGACGATTCATTTGATCCTTTCGAACCGTTCGAAGGACCTATTCGTTTGCCTTATTCATACTTGGAAGCGAAAGATGACAGTAAGGGTCCCGGTAGTGTTGACAATCCAGCAAGTACGATTAGCTCCAAGCTGCAAAATAGTGCTGAAAAAAGTTGGGGAAAATATGTCGCCGAAAAAGGAGAATAAGTTTTTGATGGTCAGTTTCTTATGTGTTAATTAGCGCTCTATTTTAGCTTTCATCAGAACGTTCAATAAGTTTTGAGACAAAACTGAAGAGTTCCTGAAATTATGACAAACCTGGAGTTTCTAAATTTTGAGAAACGCATTGGCGAGATAATGGGCTTTGAAATCGACAATTTTTTTCTTCTCTATAGATTCAGTAACTGCCTTTTTGTAAATTTTGCATAAGGCGATGAAGAAGTACACCCCTCTAAGCACACATGCTTAAGGTGGTCTACAATGTTAAGAGAGTACAGTTGTTTTCAAATTTCTCACGTTTGGTGGAAGACGTGCATGGCTTTGCTGAAAGGAACGCAGGTTTGTCAGGCATTTGGCAGATGATTATTAGTCCAACGACCAATATCGTTGTCCATTACATATGTTTACGTAGTTTCAAAACTTGTAGGACAAGTAGTATTCTATTGTACTCAACTAATATTCCATTTTACTCAGCCATGCCTTCAATTACAATTGAGAAGACCGGTCTCAGTT